ACACTTCATCGACTACAGTTAAAATTTACATTGAAAGTTTGGTCTAATTGTTGTATACTAGTACCTCTATTTGAGTAATTTTGGTTGCGTGAACTGTAGGACATTACTTAGCTGTTTGTATGTTATATAAATATAAGAAGATGTGGTATGAGTGCCAATGAGATAACTCTCCATCCAAGTCACAATTTGTAAAAGTAAACCATTATAGGTCAAAGTACGGCCTTCAACACGGAGCCTTGGCTCGCACCGAACAGCAAGCTATAAAGGGCCCCAAAAATGACTAGTGTAAAACCTTTCAAACAGGAAAACCAACGGTCTAATCTATATAAAAAACGAAAAACGAGAAACACTTATCAACAAACGACAACCACTGAACATCAGGTTCGTGACTTAGGACAGGTGCAAACAAATGCAGCGGGTTTAAACGTTTTAATAGGCGCCAACCTTCACCCTACCTGAAACAATAGTGTAACATCACAACATAAAAAGACACACTATAAAATATCAATTGAAATGGCTTAACTCAATCAAAAGACATATTAACAAAAACTAGTGAACATACACTGAACGAATAAATTTGATCTATGACACAATGTAAATACAAAATTAATGAAACAAGGGGGTTAGATATAAATATGTTTGTATAAGCAACGTGTCTTCAATTCATTAGTCCCCAAGATAATAGAAGGATTGAAGCCCACGACATAGGATACTTAATGTTCGTACTATGAAACTAGTTTTTGAAATTACAAATGTTATAGTGTTTGCTACTGTTATGATCCAATATATACTCAGTTGGAGTGTGCTTTGTGTATGTATTTGTTTAACATGTTCCAGATTACATGAAGAGTATTTGTAGATCGGAAAGTTGCAAACCTGACGAAAGGGACGGTCAACTTGAACCTTTTGGGAAATGATTACCAAAGATGTTTCCGAACACTGCAGTCGGCACATTTATCAATTTGCATGATATGGCATATTTTGAGGGTTTACATAGATTTTCGCTTATCCAACTATAAATTTCCAAAACCATAGAGACCATGGCAATAATACGGATGTCATCAGAAGCTATATTACACATATGTCGGGTTCTTTACTTGTTTTAAATGACTATTGCATAGAGTACATACATTGACATCTCGGATACCGGTTAATGATAGGATTAGTGAAAAACGAAGGAAAACGAAAGGGAACTTGATGCAACAAATGAGAATTTCAAAAATGTTTCTTCAGGGACACATCTAATGGGTATTGCTGCAAGTAAAAACAAGTGGAATAATTTCCGCTTTTAATATTGCGTATAAAGGCATCTCCCTTCAGTCAATAATATACATTTTATTCAGTTCTGAATTCAGAAAAATCACACACAGGTCCTCTGTAATAAGTACAAGAAACTTCTGTGATAGAGCAAATCCATTTGTCCTGAAGCAACCTATAGTGTTGAGTAAGAACATCGTTATCGTGTGTTTCTTCTTACACTGATTTATTCAGATTTTTTGTGCAATCGTTTTAAAAATGACACTTAGAGACAAATAAATAAATGGTGTCAATTTAAGCGAAATTATGACAAGTGAATTCATTCATATATGAACTTGTCTTTCGGTTGTTTCAAGATTTTCTTATTTTACTCTTATATGCACCAAACTGATCATTTGGCCACTTTCTAGAGAAATCTGCATTTAATAAATTTTCTAATTGGTCATGTTAAGCGGCGGCGGTTCAATTTGTCTACCACCTAAGATTTCTTACCAAAGATCACAAATTGTTCATGACCACTTTGATTTGTCTATTCGCCGTGACTTTTATAATGAAGGTATTAACTATCAAACTCAAACCAGTGTTAATATCGTCTCTGCTACACGACGCTGGCTTAGATTAGCGTAGCGACGTCACCATTGTTTCGGGGTTTGATCAAATACATTTGGTCTGTGGTGATATCACATTCAGCGGTGACTCTGTTTAACCTAAGACGATTATGACAGACATAATATGAGGAAATGCCGAAACTCCGTTGCACTGGTTGAATTTTTGAAAGTAGAAGTTTTGTTTTTCCTTGATGACAGCTCAATTTAAACACAAAGAAAACAACTATTTTTTCATAAAAACAAATTGCAGACTTTGGAATAACTCAACGTAGAACATACATGCACTAATACTAAAAATGTTGGCCGGTTTAACTAGTTTTACAGGCCAATACTCCCCATTATCTCCCGATCTTAATTTGATACGTTTGAGATCTTGATTTCTTATTTTTTTTCTTTCTGTATTACAATTGAATGTACCTATGCTTCATTTGACATTAGAATAAATATATACCAGAGGTTACCGTCTCTTCACTGAAAAAGGAGACTCTGCCAAAGACGGTGGATAGCTTTATTATTGCTCGTATAAAATACATGTAAGAATAAGAATAAAATAAGAAGACGTGGTATGATTGCCAATGAGACAACTGTCCACTACAGACCAAATGACGTAGATGTTAACAATACTAGGTCACCGAACGGCAAAATCAAGACCGCATAGTAAACTATAAAAGGCCCTGAGAAAAAAAAAACGCAAAACAAATCAATCGAGAAAACCAACGGCATGACTTATGTACACAAAAAAAAAAACAAACAACAAACGAAATGAAAATATGATATACAGCAACAAACGACAACCACTAAATCACAGGCCCCTGCGGTCTAGTGTTCTTTACCCTGTCATGACGAAACTTTTTTTCAATTAAAAAGGATTCCATATTACACTAAGTTCTATTTCAAAGATTAAATTCTGATTTGCGACCTATAGAAATCTGCCCAGAAATGACTTAATAACAGCTATAAATATGGGATCTTCGTAGGCATTTATAATATGACTTTGGTCTTACTTTAACAATTCTGTTATAAGCTTAAACTTCTGTAGAATGTCTGTATATGCGTTTGACAAGCTATATAAAATTGAGAATGGAAATGGGGAATATGTCAAAGAGACAACAACCCGACCAAAGAACAGATAACAGCCGAAGGCCACCAATGGGTCTTCAACGCAGCGAGAACATTGGTGTGCAACATCCTCTAATGTAACCGTTATTATATATATATAAGGAATCGACCATTCATCTTTTGTGTTTTGTATAAACTGCTTATATATATATACATTTACATGTATATATTTCTTATTAACATTCAATACTGTGACCTATAATGGTTTACTTTTATAAATTTTTACTTGGATGGAGAGTTGTCTCATTGGCACTCATACCACATCTTCTTATATCTAATAACAAGAATGTTTTGTTCCAAACTCAAATTGAAATTTATTTCCCCCTGATTTTCAATTGAAACGAACAATTTTTTTCTCTTCCCTTCTGCAGCGACAATTTTTTACAAGACATTTAGAAAACAACAACTTATTTGAAAAAATGTCCCTCCCCCTCCCCGCAAAAGATGAATTGTCAGTGTCTAAACATGGAACTGATAACTCACAAACACTTTTTTTATAGTTGACAAAGCATAGTTCTGTAGACTATGGGTACTTTTTAACAAAAGGTTCACCTGCAGAACACAAAAGTTGATAAAAATGTGTTTGCTTTGCCAAACAAAAGTGTACTCCTGTGTCCTATGTCAATTTTCTATGACACGAGCGTGCTATATAATAATTTCACATTATGACCGAAGTTATGAAATAGGTGACATCCGGAACACTTCCTACTTCATTACACAGAGCATCGGGATGCATGACCTCGGCCATGTCACGATTGCCTCTGTGTCAAATGCCAGACCAACAAGGACAATAAGTAACATATAATTAATATGTATCAAAGCTAAATGTCATGCAATAAAGAATTAACAAGGTCCTTTCACCTGCAAGAAAAGTGTTACAATTTTGTCACAGTCAAATGGTGGAGTTTAAAATTGCGTGATGATACTTAAAACTTACTATTGTCCATTGAGAAATCAAATTGCTTAATTGGTCGTTAAATTGTAACTGAGCAAATTCTACTGAATCCTAATATGAAATATTTGACATACTATTTTACAAAATTAAAAGAATTTGAATTTTTGAATGAATAATATTGGTGAAATGTGAACTCTATGAATGTTTTTTAAATAAATCACGCAAATTCTTGTTAAACAGCACATCAGCGACTATTTTAAACCAAAATCAACAATTTACTCTCAATATCTAGAAAATATTAAAAACACCAAATTATTGATGTTCCAGAATTTGTCAGCGAGAACTGTTTTCCTTATCCCTACAGACAATCTTTTCTCAAAAGTAAACCTACAGAACTGTAGAAACAAAACCGAGACTGTCAGAGAGACAGCACAATACACTATAACCACGATCAGCTGTTATACCTGCTTTATTTTTTAAGAAGACCGAACGTCACTTATGTACCGAAAGACTTCTTTGTAGAATACATTTTTTTTTTATAAAAGTATGTTTTGTTTAAATATTTTTCTGTCTTTCTTAGTCTTTTTTTCTGTCTTTCTTAGTCTTTTTTCTGTCTTTCTTAGCCTTTTTTTTCTGTCGAATTTGGTGATTTGTGTGGTCTTCTGTCCAAAATCTTTTGTAGGTCCTCTTGTCATTTTTATGTATTATCCTATGATACCGGTATCCTAGAATTACCTTCATCAAGTACGAACAAGACCAAAAGTTTGGGAAGCAATAAACATAATAAATTTAAGAAGAGGTAATGATTATCGTTCTTTCTGGCAAACGATACCAAAGAGACATTCAAACTCATTAGTCGAAAACAAACTGACAACGCCATGGCAAAAAACGAAAAACGACCAAAAGACAAACAACAGTATACATTACACTACATAGAAAAATATAGACTAAGCAACACGGACCCAACAAAAAACCGGGTTTGATCTCAGTTGTTCCGGAAGGGTTCGCAGATCTTGCTTCACATGTGGCACCAGTCGTGTTGCACATGTAAGTACAAACCCGTTGAGAAGTCAGTAGGTCACATTGGAGGAAAAGATGATATGGCAAATGATATATAAGAATTACAATTCATTTTTTTATTTGAAGTAGTCATTGGCAGTTAATGGTTTAAAAAGTAAAATATAACATTAATCTATCATCGTAGACAATTGACTGTCAAAAACAAAATAAACAAACAAACAAGTAAACATAAATTACACAAAAAACGTGTCTTTTTACATAATATTCTGGTCTTTAGGGTACATTTCCTTGCGTACTGCGAGGAAAATAATATATCGTATTTTATAATAATAAAGTGAGTGTTACTATATACTCTCAACTGGCTCTCAACTGGTTTCTGAGTATTTGCAAAACTACAATGCTATAATTTGGTGCACAGCAACAAAATTTTAGAACCTCCGTATAGATTTTGTTTGTTAAGTTTTACAATAACACCATTTTTTAACGATAAATGTGACAACACAATGTTGATTTTATTTCCATGAAACGGACAAACGGTACAAATAAAACAAAACTGATGTTTTCGAGTATCCTTAATTCTATGATAATTTGAATTCGAAACGGTTTAAACTGTCGTTACTTTTGACCGGAGAAACCGTTTCCATCTTTTAAATTGAAAAACAAACTCGTTCAACACCCCGGAAAAGGTACATGTGTATTTGTAAAAGACATAATCATTGTGACACAAATTGCAACATAGAAATACTTTGTATTTAAGGAATAAAGAATACACGTAAGACTGACATCCAACGTTTTCTGGCTTGTGCTCCCAGAACCTACATGTACATGCACTGCTCCGGCTACCTGTCAAAATTATAAAGTCAACACATAATTACAGACATTTGCTTACATTTCTCGTGTAAGCAAAAGTAATATTCCAAGTAAAGGACACATGCCAAATACATATATACAAGAATTTGAAAAAACATGTTTTCGATTGTAAATGAAATATTGAACAATTGAAGGGAGATAATTCATATAAAACTGACAATCGATTTGTAGTAAAACTAAAATATAATAATTGCTGATATCATATACCGGATCTAATATGACATATTAAGAAACATCACCGACCATACACAAAAATAACATTCTATTACATATAACAACATATTCTTATTCATCAAAATGTTTGTTTACCCTGATTTGGAACCGAGGCTGTAGCTTACTACCCTAGATATTTGATATATTGTAATGGCATGAAGACGAATGGAAAAGAGACTATGAAGACTATTTCAAATGATAATGGCGTACTCGTCATCATTGAAAATATGTAAACGACCAAGTTTTCATTGTTTCCAATACAGCTGCGTACCTAAATGGTACATATTTATTTTTACATAACTATGTTTATTTTTTCTCTCTATGAATTAGGTATTTCGGTCGTTTTCCAAGAATAAAATAAACGGGCAACTATGGGGGCAACTTCAGATGCGAGAAAAAATATTTTGACAAATCATTCATATATGATCTATTAGCTGTATACAAAAGGTGCCGTTTTATCAAGTAGTAATACTTCTTTTCAAGTGGTCTATTTGACTGGACCATTTTACAAATGCAGTCTTTATTAGTAGTACCCGTACAACCTTGGTGTTCTCGTATAATATCAATGGATTTCAAATGATAAAATGATAGTAGAATCATGCTCTGCCTTGGTTTGTCCATATCACGTGCTTTAAACAGTCCCACTATACAGTGTTCAATATTTCCTGTCAATTCTCAGTCTATTTAATAACAATTACAAATAGCACTTATAGCTCTCAATATTCACTCGGGGACTGTTTCTTACTTAAATATGTTCTCCTATGGAGAGCCACTAGCAACATAATTTACATAATATATCCTACAATGCACTTTTCATTTCATGGTCACGTTGTTGAGATGCTTTCTCTAGCGCGTTGCAAAAGTTCATGTTCTTGGCAATATGTGAAAGTTTGTGTTCTTTCTTCCATTTCATCCGGCGATTTTGAAACCAAATTTTTATTTGCCTCTCTGTCAGATTTAGCGCATGCGCAATTTCAATTCTTCGTCGTCTTGTGAGGTACTTGTTGTAGTGAAATTCTTTTTCTAACTCTAATGTTTGGTGTCTCGTGTAAGATGTCCGTGACCTTTTTGAGTCAGCGTCTGCACCATCTGAAAATGTAAATAAGATATTTTTAGAACAAGGAAAAACCCCAACATTACAGTAATACCAATTAAGCATTAAAAAGAAATTGGAAAGGATGGGCATATATTTTATACTAGTTTAATATGATGGGTATTTTTTCGAGATATAGACATTTTTATTTCTTCATATCATGAATGTATGAATATTAAATATAAATAAATTCATCTGAAAACCTGAGAAAACAGCAAAGTATACTCTCAGAAATTACAAAAAGGTCTAGTCATTTTGACAACCGTAACCACAAGAGAGTTCTGTAGGTTTTGCCTTTGGACAGAAATGTCTCCACGCATCGGACCAAACTGATGAATTCACATAAGACGTGCCATTTTCTAATATACATTTATGGATATCTTATGAGTAAAATGACAAGTTGTTATAAAATTCCATTTGGTTGTCTAGAATTTATGTGTTTTCGGGAAATAAGATTACACTTAGTATGATTATTTGTCAACTTAAACATTCATGTATTCTATATTATGATGTATAGTCACTTTTTAACCTCTTGTTTTGTAGGTAGGCTATTTCATTTTCTTGTTTTAGTTTAAACTTGTTTTAGTTTAAATGTACTTTACTATGTCGAATATATTCAATTGGTGTTTTGTTGTTTTAATAAAACAAAAAAAAACAAAAAATATCAAGCGTGACAACCTTTTTTTTACACATAAGCTGATGATTATGTTTTATTATTTAAATAAAACCTATGGGAGGGGGGTGTTAAAATTTTATAATTTGGTTACTGAATATTACTTAAATTCAAATTCAAAATTAATTGACATCTTAATCAACTGATATGATTTGCTTACTACAAGCATGAAGAAATGTTTACTTAGTCGACAATTATCTCTAAACCTTATAATTCAACTTAAAAGATTTTCTCATCATCTTCAATTGTATTACAGGACTGCTTTTTCTTAGTTTCTTAGAAGTCTACCCTTTTCAATCAACAAATTATGACCACTGTGTCTTAGCTTGGTGTTATAACATCTATTTTCAAATACATTTGAATGTAAATATGTTTAAATTTAAACATCTTGTTTCAATGCTTTTTATACCATAAGTTGATTATTATCACCTATTTCTTCAAATTTTGATTTGTATAATTTTGTGTGTATAATTTTTCAAATAATTAAGAATTTAGTGTCTACTTAAATCAACTATTCGCACATAACTTTCTTTCACTGTATATGATGGTTATTCACAAATGATTGAAGATAAGGTGATTTTTTAAAATTTTCATTTCATTTCTACTTTTTGACCTGAATATTCATGAAACATTTGCCACTGGACTTTTATCAAATAACACCCAACAAATCATTTTCATTTCTTATTTCATTAATGTTGTATACAATATATTTCATATAATTTTATTTATTACACTTTCAGAGTGATAGGGTATTTTGAGAGTATATCAGTCAGACAACAGACATCAAGCTTTATTTAATTAGAGTTAAACAGAATAGATTTCTTGTTTTTGTCTGCAGTACTGATAAGCATATCAAAGCCTAGAACTATTATTCTATTGGCAAGGTCATATTTCACAACATCAAAGGTACCAGTAGGTGTTATTTAGATTAATTACCTGACCTCAATATTCAACAAATATGAATTATTACATATGAATTAACAATATACCTTATTTTTACAAGATTATAATCACAACTATATCTATTTCTAGGCTGTACAGCGACACGTAACGTAATAAGGTTGATCGCTCTATTTCAGAAACTAAACTTCTCTATTTTTGGGTGAAAATATAAGGTGTGTTTCAATAATCATTAATAATTAACAGGTATAGGCTGTTAAAAGCCAATTAACATGTGTATTAAGTCAAATGGTTCATTTCCTTGTTCACAAAAAATGATTGATATTTTGTTGTTGTGCACACTTATAGCAGGTACGAAAACGTATATAAACACATACTTGGCATAACTACAGTCTGATTATAGAGACCTTAAAATAAATTGATATTTAATAAAAACGAAACAAGACTTTTAAGATCAAACATTTATTTTACTCATAATTGAATAAAAAAGTGCATTGTTGAATTCGTTTAACTTAAAATGTGAACTATTGCTGTCATTCGTCACAGCATCGGCACAATTCTAATCAAATCTACAAATCATATTTAACTGCGTGGCGTTCGAAAATATTTATTTCAATGTATCTAGTCCCTCGGGTTTTATGGTTGGTCTGAATGTTCAAATGTTTGATATTAGGTTGTATAAATCAGATATATTTTAAATGTACTTTTCAAGGAAAGAAACTAAACATTATTAATGCAGTGAAGTTTTACGTTCATGCGTATACGTTTCTGAATTAATATATATATTTTTTTTTTCTAAATTATGCTTAAAAATTATTAGTGTTTTTAAGGCAATCGAAACACATTCAATCTGTAAAATGATATACTTCTAAAATTCCATTAATCATAAATAAAAATCAAAGTACTGAAGTACTGAACATCGGATGACCGCAGGTTCTTGTGGATGGTCAAAAGCACATGTCACAGAAATAGATCACATCTCTATACCTGAAACTGAGGTTAATTTACAGAGATATATTTTTTTCTGATACAAGTTCGTGCATGGACGATGAATAAATGACAGGAAATTCAACCGCACTGTAATACCTATTATATTGTAGTAATACAAATCAGTATACCTGGGACCATTATACTAATATAATAATAGTCCCAGAGTATACACTGGTTTGTTGTTATATATTATATTAATATTACGGTTGCATGTATATATAATTTTCATCTATTTGTATATCATTTTATTCTACTATTCTAATTATAGTGCAGTACAAGTGCATGGTGGACACTCTTCTGTAAAAAAAATCGATTTTTCTAAAAGGTTGGATATTAGAAGCCATTCATATTTTCCCGCAAAACAATAACAGAGTTATCGGTCCTTGCCGGGAGTGTCGCAAAACGTTCTTGAGATATCCTTCCGTAAGCTTTAACACAATTTTTCGGTACGTGTGCATAAATATCATCAATGATTTTTTACTTTTATATATATAACTAACGACAACACATTTTCATATTATTAATTTGTGTTTTAATAAAAAATATTTATAGGAGTATCCATTGAAAAAATGAATTTTGAAACAAGCGATAAGTAATGTTATTTTGCACTAGATAATGACCGCGGATCTATAATTTTTATAGATCGGTTGAAAACCCAAAACTAATTTGCATAATGGAAATTTAGGCGATAGCAATACATCGAAATGACCTCATGGTCATCGCGATGTAATAAAAACTGTAATCGGCCAATGAAAAGGGTCACAAAATGCCGCTAAAATGAACATAACTTATATTCAATGATCCGCTATTGACAAAGGGAAGAGCAGACTAGAGTCACATATTTCATCACGCGTGAATTGTTTTATGTCCTTGTAATTAACATTACAGTCCATTTATGTAGAATTTACGGCCTCATTTTCTCACCGTAGGATAATAATTGTCAGTGAGAAGTGTCAACTAATCTAAAAGACGTCTAAATCACAACATTTAACCAGCAAGGTGTTTCAAATCGTAGCACATGATTGTGGCTTGACCAGCTGCAGAAAAGTAACCAGTAGTTGCCATAAAGTTTACACGCAAGAGGAATTAAGACTTGAAGAGTACCGAAGAAAGTATTGCAAATAAAACCTGGCCTAGAATCCCAATTCAATCTTTGCTAGTTCCGCTTCGCTGGCGAGTAGTGAGTCAGGGTCCCAAGTTACCATTTTGAACGAGTCTGTTTTGAAAATTTGATTACTATGATAACTTTTTGTGTTGATTAATTTGCATGCGACATCAATCAACTCATGACTGAAAACTCTGCATTTTGCACTTATATTAATTTACATGAAAAGGCACTTGTATGAATGTTCATGTCCTATGTGACTGGACTTGAATTATAGATATGAAAGTAGCGAGGGCCCCAAAAGTAGCATATCAGCCTCAGTGTGGACTTATAAGCCCTTGAACCATTTTTCTCACAACCAGAATGGGTAAACATGAGTACATATGTTACTTCATTCCAACACATTTGTGCACAGAATTATAAAACAAAAGCCTTCTAACATGTACTTTTACACTAAATTGATTTACAGCTTATCAAAATTTGCATAGTTATCTATTTACAATTCAAAACAAGTGTTGTATTAGAAATCGTACCAGAATATGACAAGCAAATTTTAAGAGTATTGTGAAAATTGAAATGAAAATATCAAGAATAGGATACACATGCATTGTGTTTATGATCAGACTGTCTGATTGGCTTTAAAAAATACATTTTACACAAGGTTCATGTTAGTGAATGTCGTGTTTATTTATTTGAAAATAAGTATTTATTCATTTGTTAGTCATGCAAATGTTTTGAAAGGCGAGCATCGATGTGCATGCCATGTCGTAAGACAGTACTAAGATCATCCTAAATCATTATGTCCTAAGATATATCTTCGAACAGATCATAGGACATTTTCGATAAGCAGGCCCCTTAATAATTTTATCAGATATAAAAAAAAAGTAATATTCAAAATAACTATGACAGCAAATTAAACATCACAAATTCTTTTTTAGTTAGATATAAAAATAAGAAGATGTGGTATGGTAGCCAATGATCGAGACAACTCTCCACCAGAGACCAAATGACATAGAAATTAACAACTGTCTGAACTAATGACACAGAAAGGGAGAAAGACACATGATTAACAATTGTTTACCAGATTTCCTATTACAAATCCCAGTTACTGATAAAAACACAAATTGTCTGTACTTAGTATATTGTTATATCATGTAAAAATACGATTTACAAGGTATCTAGCCTACTTCGACATGCAACCGATGAACAGGAATGAAATAAGACATAATTTAACATATCCTCACGTTCGACGAAATGTATCAGGTTTTAAACCACTGTGTAAATATAGAAAATCATTAAGTTCTACTTTACATTTTTGTACAAAGGTT